TAGGATTTAGATTCCAGTCCTTTACCAACATACAGATTAGGGATGAGGGGAAAAAACTCCATTGTATTGCGTGAAATGGTTAGGCACTTGCATGAAAACAAGTTGTGCTGAGCACTGTAGGTGAGGGGATTTTTATGGGCTTTTTCTTTTTGACTCAAACATGCTATGTGTGCCCACTCTGTAGCTGCCACTAAGACTTGGTATTGCTCCATCAGCCCTGTGAGGGTGCCTGTGTGGAGCAGATCTGGACCCAACATGTGAATGCAGGACACTTTGAAATGGGACGGGAAAACAGAGTTTAAGGTACATCTTGAGCACATACACCTCCCATGCCTTCCTTCAAGGAACAGCTCTTCATCTCCGCTGGTCTCCAGTTTGGACACAGCTCTTTGTAGCAATGTTTAGAGGCTACTGCTTATGCCTTTCAGAGGACCTGTTTTTATGGCAAGGCAAAGAGTTTGCTGGTCATAACCATAATTCTGTGAATATCCTGAAGTCTTTCAAACAAGTTGGTGCATTTTAGAATTTTACTAGCAGTTTCAGAGCAGAAAAGAAAAAGGCTTTGTGGAGACAAGATGAAATCCTCCACTAAAACATACCATTTTCATAAGGAGAGTGAATGAACTGGATGGCCCAGCTCTATTGCCAGAAGCCAGCATTAAGGAGTGCTTCATAATCTTCCAAGGGACTGCATTTTCCTCATTGCTTAGCCAGATGGGCAAAGGGAGGCATGAAGGCTTTTCATGGGAAGGTTCAGCTGACCTGGGAAAAGAAGGAAGAATGGCACATGACAGTTCTTCAGGTAACTGCTACCTGGAAAATTGTTCTGGCTGAAAACACTGCTTAATCAGGCTGAAAGCGAAGTGCCTAACTTGAATGCATAGATTTAGAGCATTGCACATTTTTTGTTATTGCACAGCTTTGTCTTCACAAAGGAGGGCTCCCACTGTCACAATCTGGATGCTGTATTTCAAAACATTAGTCAAGGATTAGTCCTTGGTTCTGATTTATGAGAAAGCACCAGTGCCACAGAGGATTTATAACCCATGTAAATGATTCATGGAGAATGTGTTCTACGAGATGGGTCCCCTGTGCATGTAAACTGGAGCGTGGTCTTGATCCACAGGCAGCGGTGTGTGTTTTCTAGGCTGCCTTGGAAAACCAAGGACCTGGGAGAGCCTCATTGCGATTAATCCTGCCCCTCCACCCACTCCCACACCTGATGAGTGGGCTTTGGGAGAGCCACCCCTCTCCGGGGAAGTGGGGGAAGCGGCAGCACAGCCCTGAGCTGTGGTGGCGTCTTCTGTAATACTGACGTATCCCTGTAGAGGGAATGCTTTGGTAAGACTTCAATGAGGCTGTGTATTGCTGTGTTCTATCAGGGACCAAATTCATTTTTTGCATCACCTGCTGAGTTCAGGAGTTAACATCAAGAACATTTTACCCAGTAAGTTGTTGTGCTATCTTTCTAAAATCCTTATCTTGCTATAATTTGCTTTAAATTTCATCCCTGACTGAAGAGGGTGGAAGTGTCCATCTGATTCAATGCAAGGGATGGGCTTTGATGCTGTCTTACATGAGCATCAAAAGCTTAAGATAACACGCATATTAAAATGTTTTTCACTGGAAGCTTGCAGAAGGCCCCATGGCCAGACGTAACAAGAGGGAATCCATAGTGTGTTGTTTACCAACTGCTCCTACACTTCAGCTAAATTGGCACAAGGAAATTATAATGCCTTCTGAATAACACCAGGAAACGGGGTTTGTTCACTAGAACTAAAACCACAAACTCATCAAAAATATTCCAACATTATGTATTATTTGTGTTGATTAAAAATCTGCTTTGCAACACTGAGTTTGTTATCGATCATAAAACCTGCACTGACCTAGTCCTTTCCCTCCAAGCTATCAAAGCATTTAAACACCTATCTCAACCCAGGCCCCAGTTCCACTGTGCCCATAGATCTTCTGGGTCACAGACCCTTTCTGATACCTCTGCTTTAGCACTGCTGCCTTGCTTTTCCAAGATGAAGGGATTTTCCTCTACTGCAGTGTAAGGTCCACTTTGAAGGGAAGATGAAGGAGCAGTACAGGTGATGATGCACAGTATTCATGTGACTCAGGTCACACTCACTCAAACTCACTGACCCCATCCTGCTCTCTTCAGTGCTAATAGAGGAGTCTTTCATGGGGTACTCATCAGGACCAGGCGCCATCTGGACACCTGGCAGCTACAATGCCACCTCTCGAGCATACAGGCCTCTGGATACCCAAACACAGCAGGTCACCATGCTTCAACAGCCACCTAGGCACCAGAATGACAGCAAACCCCTTGTGGATGGCATCAGGGTGGATCTGTGATGTTAACATTTCCGAAAGCACAGACATACCCACTGAATACTGAAAACAAGTCTTAATCATCACAGGGACTTCCTCTGTGGATATTAATAATCTCCTCACTTCCTCTGAGGAGCCCCCCTGTCTGCTGGGCTCAGTCTCTGCAGAAGCATCGATAATGCTCAAACTTTGAAAGGTTTCACCTAGGAAAGACAGCTTTTCTTGGGAAATTGATGAAGCAAACATCAGGCAGGCCCAGCAATAAACTGCCCAGGCCGGGCACCACCATGGTGTAGCATCACCTGTGCCTGTGATGCAGATGCTGGAGGTTTCTCTCCCTTTTTGACTTCAGTCAATGACGAACAATTGCTTTGTAGTGTCCCCTTGCTCTGCTCCTCCTTCTCCCGGCCACTGGCCAGGGACCTGGTAGTCAGATCAACGCTTGGGAGGGTCTGGGAGAAGCACTTTCCCCTTCCTGTGGGGAAGGATGTGATTAAAACCTTGTAAATAAGAGGCTTGGCTCAAAAAATGCCTGGGTGCCTTGTAGACACAATGTAGCCATGAGCTGTGGCTCAGGGTGGTGAGAAGCAGGAGATGGGAGACAGCCTGGTCCCAAGCCACGCTGGCCATGCATGGTCTGTCTGGGACCTGTCAGAGGGGTGCCAGACCCCAGAAGCAGTGACCTCTCAGCATGGACACCTGTTTCATGTCCTAAGGGCTGACTCTGCTGCTCAGATGGCAGCCTCAGGAGAGCCTGACCAGCCATGGCCAGGACTGAACCTTCTGCAGCGTTGTCACTAAGGTGGGAACTCAGGTCAGAGCACAGCTGTGGTCCTGGGTGGCCCCTGCTTTATCTGCTCAGAGCAATTCCCCCTGAAAGAAGCAAGCAGGCCTTACCACTGGCTGTACAATGTGATTCCCTCCTTTCTAGGGAATTACCCTGGTGCATGTTTGTGCTAGGGGAGGACTGTCCTCTTCACATCTTCATGTGCAGTGTGTTACTGAGAATCCACCACCTGCAAATTCCACATGAAGTGAACTAATCTCTGTGCTCTGTCCTAAGCTCCTCTTACCCTTTTGATAATAATGGGATAATAGCTTCTTCAGGAGAAAAGGGACTACAGTGCCTACAGATGGGATGACAGAGCAGAGAAGCTCTGCTGTTTTGCTTCAGTAGGGAACAGGCAGTTATCTTAGTTTGCTCAGGGTATATCTGGGCTCAGAAATCCAGGAACAGAGGCTTGTGCAGAAAAACATGAAGAAACTGCAGCTTTACCGACTGAGACTGAGGAAGACAACACCAAAAGGCAGAAGTTGCAATCCTCCATCCCTCTCTGTTCCAACGTTCCCTCCGTGCACAGGCCATATGCTCTGCATCCCACGCTCTGGCATCGGATTTGATGTTTCTTTATAGCTAGAGGGTGTCTTGACCAGCTTTCCAGCGGTCAGAAACCTGAGGTTGCACTGGATTAACCCTGGAGCCAAATCATTTACTCAGGTTCCTCAGGAACACAAAGCTGGCAATTCCCTGGGGCTTTTTAAGGACTCATGCTGTGTCCTGGTGCATCTTTAATTTTTACAATGTGATCCTGGCCAAAAAGCAGCCCACAGAGAGATAGCATAGCCCAAGGAAAAGTGCATTAGACGGAAACTCACAGGATGTGATGCAAGGATATAGGAAACCTGCCCACATGTTGCCTAGGAAATTCACTTTATGAACTTTTCATACCCTTTACTAGGTTCTGTCCGATGTGTGCAGAAGGGATGCTGGCATGCTGGCTTCCTGGCAGAAGGACCACCAGAATCTGGGCAGATTTTACCGAGGAATAAGCATTATCTGCTTCTTAGGGCAGTTTCCTCCCGCACCACTGAGGTCTAAAGGAATATGCCGCTCCCGGGAGCAGAGACGCGGCAGGGATGCTGGAGCCGACTCCTTCAACCTGCCGATGCAGGAAGGACCCGGGGACAAAGGCGGCCGCCCCAGGGGGCGGTCGAGCAGCCGGGCAGGGAGGTGCGGGGCCGGGGCCCGGTGACAAAGCCCTGGGCAGGAGGCGGCGGCAGCGGAGATGCTCCGGGAGATCTCGCTCCGCTCCCGCGGCTCCTGGTCCCTCCCGCGTCTGGACAGAGCGGGACCGGGGCCGCTTCGGCGCCGCTTCCCCGGGCCGCCCGGCGGGCGCGTTTTCCTGCCTGTCCAACCCCACCCTTTCCCGGGATGGGGTTCTCTCCGGTAGCTTTCGTCTAAAAAAACCGGGAAAACCCGACAAAACCAACCAAACAAAAAAGGCAAAAAGCAGGGTGGAAGCCCCGGGGTGGGGGTGGGGGGGGCAGCGGTGAGCCGGAGCGGGCAGGGCATGGCAGGGCACGGCGGGGCGGGCGGAGGGCGGAGGGAGCGGCCCCGTCCCTTTGTACCTGCCGTTCGAAGGCGCCAGGCGGCCCCGCATTGGCTGCGGCGGCCGCGGCTCCGGTAACCCGAGCCGGGGCGGGCGCGGCGCACCGGGCCCGGCCAGCGCCCAGCCCGGCAGCCAAGGGGGTGGCGCGGCTCGGCTCGTCTTGGCCAGGCTCGGCTCCCTCCGCTCCGCCGCCAGCAGCCGGCTCTCCTTCCCCACCGCTCGGCTCGGCTGGGGCAGGGCCGCGCCGCCCTGCCCGGCAGGAGGTGGGACCAAGCCCCGGCGCGGCCGCCCGCCTCCTCCTCCCTCGCTCGCTCCCTCCCTCCCTCCCGAGGGCTGAGCCATTCCGGGAAGGCGCCGGTTCCCCCACCGCTCCTCGGCAGCGCCGCACCGGCATCGGCCGCCACCGCGCCGGGCTCGGCCCCACGTCGCGGCGGGGCTGCGGGCGAGCGGCGGCAGAGCGGGGCAGCGGCGGCGGCGGCGGGGGCGCGGTGCTCGGTCCGCCTCGGCGGGGAGCGGCGGGAGCGGCGGGGGGGGAACGGGAGGACAAGTGGACGGAGCGCCCGGGAACGGGGGGGCGGCCGCCGCGTAGTTGTTTTGCCCGGGGTAAGTTGACCGATCCCTGCGGAGGCTTCGCTTGGAGCGGGCAGCGTTTGGCTCCCGGATAACCTGTCGCCCCCAGGCCCCGGGCAGGGGGGGCGCCTTTTTTTTTCCCTCCCCCCCCACCTCCTTTGGTTTATGGTTTCTTTTTATTATTATTATTATTATTATGGGGTCTGTGGGGGAGCAGAATTTCCAGTCCGGCGTTGCTCTTCTTCCTTGTCCAAAGCTCAACGGAGAACTATAATATTTCTTCCCCGAGATGCTGCAGTGAATTTCAGTTCCAGGAAATCAGGCGAACGAAATAATCCGAATAACCCGAACCATTTGTTATCCAGTGAGAGCAAAAGCAGTCTAGGCACAGATGATGGCAAAAAATTCCTTGGAAGGGTCTAAAGAAGACCTGAGCAAAATTTCAGAAGAGGAGATGCTGAGATGGAGCAAGGAGGAGCTGGTGAAAAGACTAAGGAAAGTGGAGAATGAAAAGATGAACTTAATGGTGGAACACGGCAACTTGATGAAAGACGTGAACCGTCGGCTGCAGCTTCACCTGCACGAGATCCGCGGGCTGAAGGAGGTGAACCAGAAGTTGCAGGACGACAACCAGGAGCTACGGGAGCTCTGCTGCTTCTTGGACGACGACCGGCAAAAAGGCAAGAAGCTGTCAAGGGAATGGCAGCGCTTCGGGAGGCACACGGCCAGCGTAATGTGGAAGGAGGTGGGCATGTACCAGCAGAAGCTGAAGGACCTGGAGGCAAGGCAGGAGACCCTCCTGCGGGAGAACGTGGAGCTGAAGGAGATGGTGCTGATGCTGGACGAGGAGCGGAGCGGGGCCGGCTCGCGGAGCTCCATCGACAGCCAGGCCAGCCTGACCAACCTCAACGGCGGCTCGGCCACCAGGGACGTGGGGGACGGGAGCAGCACCTCCAGCACGGGCAGTGCGGGCAGCCCCGACCACCATCACCACCACCTCCACCACCACAAGGCCGGCGACAGCAAGGCCGGGGCCATGCGGAGATCTATGGATGACCTGTCCGCGCCCCTTCACCACCGGAGCATCCCGAACGGCCTCAATGGTGAGCTCCTGCCCCCCTTCCCCCCACCCCACTGTCCTGGCGCCCCCTCCCCCTGCCTGTCCGGTCCCCCTTGGCGGCGGGGTGAGGGACTCCGGAGAAGAGGGGTCCTCGCCATTCCCAACCCTACTCATCCTTGGTGACCTCTTTGGCAGCCCCGGGGGCCGGGGAGGGGCACCTGTGAGGGTGATGTGTGTGTGTGGTGGTGCCCCTTGACTGGTGTTATCAATGTCCTGGGTTGAGGGTTGGAGCCTCTTTTATCTGCAGGGTTGGTGTTTTGTTTTGTTTGTTTGTTTTGCGTTTCTTTTTTGACAAAAACCAGCCTGAGTTTTCAGGGTTAAATAAACACTGATTGTGTTCCCACTCTTCCTCCTCTCTCTCCCCCTTTAAATATTTTGGTTTACGTTTGGCTTGTTTGTTTGCTAGTTTGATAACATCGATAAAGAGCCTGGGATGAGATTTTGGAAGCATCTGATGAAAGTGCAGGTCTGTCCCACAGAGCATCACCTGTTAGCTCCACGGGCTCTTAGGGCAGGCTGGCTGTGATGTGCTTAGCAGTTTTAGAGAGGTGCAACTGTGGCTTTCCCCCAACTCCGCTTCAGAAAGAGGAGTTTTGTTTGTAGAGAAGAGGTTACTCTCGAAGGGACGCTGTACTCACGATTTTGTTGAGGCTCGTCATTAAAGTTAGAAACAAGCTCCACAGTGAAATCGTGCCAAGCCTCCTCTGGCAGTTCATAGTCAAACAAAGTTTCTCCTGTTGTCTAATAGTCATCAGGCATTAAAATAATAATATTGAAATGTCTTTAAAATGGAGATTTTTTTTCTCTTTTGAAACCAATAAGACCAAATACTTCTAGAAGGAGTAATTTATCCAAGAGGGTTCAATAGGAATCAATCCAGGCACCAATCTAATAAATTCTTGTATATAAGACTTTTTTTAATGTTCTTAAACCTCTTGTCCAACCACAGAGGACTATTTTCTGATTGGGGTGCCCTCTTCCCTCCTCCAAGCACGGGGAGTGGAATGAAGCCCCAGAGTTTGGCTTTGATTGATGTCAGCAGTGGATGTGTTTACCAGATAACCATGCTTTCAGCTCCCAGAGCTTTTGGTGGTCCCTTTTTTTTTTTTTTTTTGATTTATGGCAAGTCTTTATGTCCCAAGAGATCTGAGAGCATGCAGGTTTGATCAGCTCAGCTCACAGGTACTGTGTTCATCCACGAATTTGCTGTTTGTGGTCCTGTTGCTGCAGCTGTGTCTCAACTCATAGCTGGAGACATTCTGGCCACCTCACGCAGTAGTCAGGGATTGCTGGTTTCAGGGATGATCCAGTCACCAGATGGTGCACGGTACAGCAAGCATCTTTAAATGTTTGGTGTGGAATTTTTTTAATCTCTCTCTTCTAGTGCTGTATAAATCAGAAGTATCTGGTTTGTAAATCTACAGATAGCTTCTGCTTCTGACGTGACTCGATTTTATTTTCCTAAAGCATTGCTCTCCACAAAGACAATGTGGAGAGCACATGGCAGTTATTGAATGTGTTATTACTGTTTTGGGACAGAAGGGCTTCACAGTTCTGGTTTGTGAACCTTAAACCATGTCCCTTTTAGGTATTGATAACTTACTGGGACAAAGCTAGTTGAATTAATCTGTTAACCCGGGGCTCTGGAGTACATAAGGCATCGCCACAGCCTCAGAGCTGTCCCTTAAACCCGGGGTGAGGCACTGTGGGATGCTTCACCTGGGATTCAAAGTCATCCCTGTCTGCACAAAGAGGAAAGTCTCTGCTTGCAGAGCTCGGTCCTCACTGCCCTTCTCAAACACTGTATGTGGGACTGTGCCCAGCAGTATCATTTGGAGGGGACTGAGAGCTGAGTCTCATGACCTACCCTATGTAGGGTAAGTGTAGGGAGGGATGTCAGAGCATCTGCACGTGCATGTTTCCGTACCTGCCTTTACATCCCTTCTCATCTCCTGTATCGGAAGGAGGAATATGGGCTCGAGCATTTCAGGCGTGATCTTAGGTTTTAGTGACTCCTGATTCTGGGGTGCCTGTGGAAGGTGGTTTCTGTGCGAAGTACTGAAACTCTTTCCTTCGAACCTGTGCAGCTTCATTTCTCAGGGTGCAACGGATATGATCAGCACTTTTAAAGCTAATAATCCTTGTAAAGATGCAGACAAGCCTGATCTCTCCACTTAGGTAGTGAAGCTGTAAAATGACTTGAATAGTTGTCATTCTCAGATAGCATCGGTATTCAGCAAGGCCATTTCCCTGGCTGTGCCTTTGGAAGTGCCTCTCAATACATATGCAAATGTAGGGCTTATCAGGCCCCTTTTTTGACTGACAGCAAGTAGTCTGGGAAGGTTGCTTGCCTGGGCCCAAGCAACAATTTCGTTAGGCCTATGACAATGTGGAGGAGCAGGGCAGGAGCAAGTGAACGTGGAAAACAACCTCGATGCGTCAGGTGGGTGGTGGAGCTGTCACGGAGCAGCCCCACAGTGAGCATCCTACCGTGTCTCCTGGTCCTGTCCCTGCCATCTGTGTGTGCAACCTAGATCTCAGCCTTTTTGTACTCTTTTCGTGGTGATTTTTTTTTCTTCAGGCATAAAACCGAAGGAAGTCAGAGGAAAAATGGACTTTCATTTTTAGGTTGTAAACTTGGGTCTGTTTTGTTATTGTCTCATGCCTTTAAAGCGCTGGAGAACTAACTGGTGGGTAAAACAGACACTGCCTGGCCAGCTCAGCTAACACCAAAATAAACAACCCTGTGTATTTTCTTAGGGACAGGAGGTGGATCGGAAAGGGACACAGGGAAGAATTCAGCATCTGTAGTAAGAACACGGTAGGAGCCTTGGACAGCTGGTGAGAGCAAGGTTGCTACTCGTGAGCTGCTTGCTAGAGCACTTTTGCTTATGGAAAAGCTGGAAAGTCCCAAAATTGAAAGCTGGAAAGTCCAGAACTGTGCTGCCCCTGCTAGTAGTATCCACCGAGCTTCACTTGTTAGTGCTTTTCTGGAGGAGGCAGGAGTATAGAGGCTGTTACAACACTTCTAGGGAGGTTGCTTTTTAGTGAAATCTTAGCAAGCAAAGGTGGGTTGAATGTTTCTCATTTTCTGTTCAGCAGTCCTTTGGAAGTGAGTTGTTAAACCAGGGGTTGATTTATTGGACCCAGTGACCCACCTCAGTGTGAGGTGATGAACTCTAGATTTGTAAGGTAAATTCAGTATAAATGGCATAAGTGTAAAAAGCAAAACCAACCCAATTGGTGATCCACCTTTGCTTCATTTTTCTGAAGTCTGTTTACTTTTATAAATTGAATTTTGGAAGCTAATGATTAGTTATTCACTCATGGAAGATAAGATAATAAGTATAACATAGTGTGAAAATGGCTAATATTAGATGACACGTGTAATCTTGTGCAGCTCTGGATATTCTGCTGAGAGCCAAGAGGAAGTCTGCTTGGTCTGAAAGTAAGTAGTATGTCCATTCTCTATATGTGCTGGGACCTGGGCTGTGGGACAGGGGCATCTCCAAGCTGTGTGATGGAACTGGCCAGCTGCATGTGTATTGATATGACACAGTTCTCCTAAACCAACCCACAGATCTAGGACAAAAATTGAGGGACAGTCACTGTGTGTACTTGTGAGTGCTTTGGCTTTCTTTTATAAGCATGGTAAGAGTCTGTGTGCATGCACAGTCTTTCTGCCCATCCAGCTTTAGACAGCCATACTGAAGGGACTGCCTGGTTCCTGACAGAATTAGGTTTTAAAAAAAAGAATAATATAAAAAAAAAAGCATTGGGTGATATTAACATGACTTGGGGGAAGAAGAAAGACCTCAGGTACCATAGGATATGTCTCTGGATAGTGAGGTATATGGGAACATTGGGAGGAGTGACTCAAAGCTCCCTGAGGCGAGGGCAAGGGCTTCTACTGGTTTTAGCCTTATCTAGATCTGACTGGGACAACTGTTTATCCATCTGCAAGCCTGGAGGCATACAGACTGGCTAACTAGTGATGTGCCTGGGAGAAAATCCTGTGCACGCAGGCAAAACTTTCAGGCTTTAGTTTTATATTTTATATTTCAGCTGAATTTTGTCATTAGATCTTCTGAAACTCCTTGCTCTGGGTTCCCAAAATGGACTGGGTGGTTTTCAGTGTATCTGACTTTATTCCAGTTAGATGAAATGTTAATGCTCTTTTTTTAATGAGCTTTTTTGTTCATTGTTTTGTTTTGTTTTTATAAATTATTAAAAACATCAACACTTAAAAAGTAGTCAGAGAAGCCTGGAAGGAATCTGGGGGTACAAGCAGAGAGCCTGTAGTAGTAAAGACATTAATCTATAGCCTCTTGCTGCTGTCTTCTCCAGTGGAAGAAGAACGGTCTCTCTGCGTGAGGAGATGGGAAGATCTCTATTTCTATTGATTCCCACTTGTAAATGTCCACATATTTACCTAGAGGGTACGATATATTGCAGTTAAAATGGTGGCAAAGAGAAATGACTGTTCCCCCCTGTGGGTTGGTATTGATTGGTCATGCAGCTACCCTGTACTTGTTTCTCCTCTTCTTCTCACACCCTTTCAACCAAAATACTTTGTTTTTATTAGTGTATTAAGAATCAATATACATATTATTTACTATGATGTATTAATGAGGCCTTTGAGATGAGAAGATGCAGGGGCAGAAGCAAAGGGTGAAATATCTCCAATATAGATTTTAACATCTGTATTCCCTTGGGCTTCCTTTATCGGCCATGTGGAGAAAGGCACTTTGGTGTCATGATTTATGTCAACTATGTCTGCTTTAAAGAGAGAAGAATTGCATGCTGGTTGTGCTCTTTCTCTCTGATGCTCTGAAGGAAGCCTGGCCAGCTCGTTCATATGCAACCATCTAAAGTCAGATGAGATTAGTCCTATTACAGGTGTTATGGTGACCATTGCTCACTCTTCCACTACAGCTGTGCTAGCTCTGGGGAAGGAGAGGAAAGCACCTTTCTCAGCAGCAC